ATAAAATATATAAAAATATAAATAAAATATATATATAGCAATATTATTTTCTATAAAAACCTGCAGTTCACTTATAAAATTTCTATTTATCAGGCGAGTCTGAAAGCAACGTGGGATCAGGCGGTTCATCAAGGTTTCTGGGCAACCTGGGCGCAATTGGTCGACCTGACTGATCCTCGAGGAGAGATAAACGCTTATAAGGTGAATTGAGTTTAGTCGAAATTTGTTACGAAATCTGCTAACGCGATTATGCGATCGTAGGTGTTGGGCCTTTCTCAAACGGCTACGCAGTCCGACGTGACGTCACGCTGGCGAGCGCTCTCGAGAGATAATCACCCTGACAAGATAAAGGGTAGCGAAGAAGAGAGGCGAAGAGCTCAGGAAAAATTCATGGAGATACAGCAGGCATACGAAATCCTTTCCAAAGCGAAAATTCGCAGGCAACGACGGAACCGGAAGTCCGACGAATCGTTCGAATCGAATTGAGAAGCAAAGAAACGAGGATGATGAAACTCACTCTACCTCCATATATTTTTTGACAAATGTAGACATTCGCTGAACGGTGAAATGTTAATATACAGTGTGTATATGTAAATACAGAGGCGATGAAGTGCTCTTCACAATTTTTGTATCAAGATGTTTATTTAAAACTCGATTAATTGATTACAAAATCACAAATTGGTGGCTACCAACCTGTTATTATGTGTAAACTTAAAAACTCGTAGAGGAACCCATCGGGGATTTAATTTTGAGATCGTTGCGTTGAACGACTTCATCAGTTTCTAGTTAACTCTTTGGTGTTTAGAGAGGAATTCTCCTATTTCTGCGCTCAGCTGACCTTTGCCAACTAAAAATAGGTTCTCCGCGTTTACAAGATCGACTACATCATTTACACGGAAAACAATCTGAGTTACGATTACAACGTGTTGCACGCCTTTCAGTTGAAACCAAACAGATAATGTAAAACAGTAACTCTTTCTCCCGATTCTACGAATTAACGAATGCACATCCACGATATTTAAAGAAGAGAGTGTTTCGACGGTATTTAAGAACGACGCTTTTAGAAAGTTACGTAAATCGTTAGAAACCGAGCTCTCTGTGCATTACTCAAATTCATACGGCCTGCCATTGTTCACTGGCGGACGACGTTCATCAATTTATTTTTTCTTCTTCGATCGTGATTTTACCACAGAATTTTCAATCTTCTCCGTGAAATTCGTACCGTACTTCTCTTTAGATTCAAGCAAGTCTCCTGATGCGACTAACGTTACCCTGGAACAATTCACGTTCAATCGTTAGACTGCGAATTTTATAAAATTTAATAAACAGAATTTTATAAAACTTGATTGGAGAATTCAAAAGCTGGATATATATTACGACATTTAAATGATAAAACAAATTCTTTCGTTTCACGTAATAATCACACTCTAATCATTATTATAGATTCTCGTTAGAAATTTACCTGAGCTGCGGAACGCTGAGAGGCCGCAAGAGGCTCTTTACTACGGGAGGGACTTCGCTGGACTTCGGTAGGGCTGGACTACTCGCGCAGAGGGCTGCGCTGGTTAGCTGCGAGACCAACGAGAAGTTTCTATCCGGGCCAGAAGTCGTGCGGAATACTTTTTTTATTTTCGATTTGAATCCCGAAGACGGTGGGACGAGAGGGCTCGTCGGAATCGGCATCACCTATACCAAACTCGTTATTAGATCGCTTCTAATATAATTGCACTTTCTATATGCATCTCGTTTTGCATTAGACTTTTGCAGCAATTTTTCATTTCGAGCTTTATTAAATCTGAACAAAACCTGGACTCGTGTCAAAAATGAGTTTACCTTTCCTTGGAGTACTTTAGCCGCTAGTTCCGGTTCGCTGCCCCACCGACAGGAAGTGGATCTTTCCAAGAGCCGGTGCCTGGCGAACCTCTCGATCACCTCGGCGCAGACGTACCTCCCGCAAAACCTAGCCCACTGCTCAGCCCTCAGTCCCCTCCCGTGATCTCTCAACGTTGGGTTCGCCCCTGCAAACACATTAGAATCCAACGATCCCCTGAATTAATAATTTCTCAGAAGTAGTGAGTCAACATTTTACTATAGTCGATACTTAAAATTAAGGACGTATTGGCTATACAGTCAATCCCAAAAGTTTATGCACTTTAGAAACGCATTTTTTAAAAAGAAATCAGACGTCGGAAGAACATTGCTAATAATAAACAACAAAAAAAAATTTTCGATTTTTCCGAGATTTTTCCAAGGGGTACCCCTTCAATTTCTTCCAAATTTTCGTTTTTCCTCAATAACTCCTAAACCCTTGGAGATACGGGAAAATTGCATCAGACCTTTCTTGTAGAGGACGACGAGATCTACAATTTCCATGTAAAAATTTTTCGCTAGCNCTGTATAGCCAATACATCCTTAAGCGATGGTCTTTTTACTTCAATATTAAAAACAAACGTTATAATTACAAATTCACTTACCAGCGAATAACAAGATTTTGGCGCACTTGGTTCGACCCTGTAAGGCAGCCTTCATCAACGGTGTGAAACCGGAAACGTTCCTTGCGTCCAGCTCGATGTCTGTACACCTTTGGAGGAGTACATTCAAACACTCCGTTTGTCCTAGATTGAAAGAAAAAAAAACGTTACAAGTATTCCAGATGGGCGACCTTCGAGCCGTTGGCGTATCTCGAGTAAAACGTAACGCTCGATCATGTTTTGTTTGAAACGTTCACCGACACGCGTCATGGCCGGACCACGCGCGTTTCAAGTACTTCAACGGTTATTTCTCTTCAGTCGGTTATTTCTGGCGCCGGAACCCTTACTGTACCGTACAAAATTCTCTATGCAAATGTGCGTTCATAAACCTCGGGATGAGTAAAAAAAAAAATCTGACCTGATAAATCATTCGACGGTAATCATGTAATAAATCATATAACAAATCAAACAATGAACGAAACTGTAACAAATCAACGATATAAATAGGTTTTTATAATTCCTTCTAAAATCAATTTGAACGCGTTCACTCTTGATGTACGTAAAATAAAATCAAGAAGCGGTAATGCAAACACGTGTGCTGAAAATACTTAGGCCAAGTGCATGCAGGTAACGAGATCACTTACCGGCTTGCGCGGCAAAATGTAAAGGCGTGTTGCCCTCGTTGTCTGGAATATTCGGATCCACCCCGTCGAACGACAAGGCTAGCTCCAACATCGCCGTGGCACCGCTTCCGGCCAGGTAGCTTATAGCGGTCTATCGTCAATTAAATAGAAATCGAATCAATGCTTCACTACAAAATCAGAAGAATTTACATAAATCGTATTTATTTTTGTGTCAACGTAAGCCTGGAAGGACAATTACTGTCGTTTTGTTCGTCGCGTTCCATATTTATTTTTGAACGCTTGCGAAACCCCGGAAGGGGGTACGTGGGAACGAAGACGGTTCAAAGGAAGATTCGTTCAGCGAGCGTGAACCATACAATAGACCTTGCGCGTTAAGAATCAATTTATTAAGTGGTTACTGACGTTGACACGAACGCTAGATATTACTTTATCTGCGTCACCGCAGCAAACACGCGTCAGTACGCGCGCGGAAAACAAGCTGCACGAGGATCTCGTGGAAACAGCCGGGATTTGTTTATTCCTCGCGGCACGGAGAATCATCCTCTTAAAACAATACGGATTTATCTACCAATTTCCCTTGGCAACTGTGGTAAAACCACCGGCAAGACTTCCATCAGTACATCAAACAATTCTAATAATACATACAGTAATTAAAATAGTATGCACTGAGCAGTGATTGCAATAATATTTGATGTAGGTAAAAGTATTTGAACAATCAAACAAGAGATTCATACTTATTTTACTGCGGTACCATTTTTAATTCAATTCACTGAAGTTTTGCTTGTCTTCATTTGCTGTTATTCGATTACGTTTGACTTGTTCAAGAGAAAACAGACATTTCCCGCGCGTCTCATTTTATTGGCCATTACGTAGTGCACTTCGCCAAGGGTATTGTACTATAAATCGTTAGATACTAAATGCAACTGATTAAAATCATTCGAAGTTGTTCAAACAATTTTCCCTGTATAAACTGTCTCGAGTCCGATAACAGCAGGTTCCCTCGTGTCTTCGCAAACATCCGATAATCCAGATTCAACAATGCGACTCGGCGTTACATCGATTCCGCGCGCGTAGGAAAAGGCACAGACTTTCGGTTTTACGTAATTAGCTTACCCTGCCGCTGCTATCGGCCACGTTCACGTCCACGTTCCCGAGCCCGAACTTTCGAATCCGGCCCGCGATCTCGTTGAGCGCTGCGTCGTCCGCATCTCGCGCCGCTTCCAAAAGGGCCCATCGGCCCTTCGAAATTCCTTCCGACGACGGCACTTTTGTGGCGATATTTATCTCGCTGCGATCTGAAAACGTAACATCAATTCATCGATACACGTTTTAAATGAATCATGAATTATCATAAGCTTGTGCTAAAATCCTGCTTCTGTCTTTTATCTGATTCGCCTTTCTGTCCAACGCATTTTGTACAAAAAACTGTAGTTTGCTCTTTCTATTAAAATAAATAAATATTTTTCAAATGTTTAAATCAATTTCTATTTCGCTCTGTTGACCCTTGATGACTCTCCAAAGAAAATAGCATTACGCAAAGCGTATCCGGAAGTCGAAAAGATATACGAACACTTTTGGTCTAAAAATCTCCGAGCATTGGAAGTGAACACTGAAAATTGGAACGTACCTTGTAGGACACCTTTGTGATAGACCTTGACCTCGTGAACGGCGGCTCTTCCGTAGGAGGCGCGTTTCTCGAAACTCGTGTCCGAACTGAAGGACACCGATTTCTTCACCCGAGCACCGGTCCTCTCTTGCCGTTCGACGGACAAAGTTTGCGCGCTCGGCGAACGTCGTAACAACGGATCGAAATCGCCGCTCAACGCAGCGATGTAATCCTTCAGCGTCGAACAGGTTCTCCTTGCACAGTAATCGTTCGCGGAAAGTATTCCCCTCGTGCAGCCGTCGTTCAACTTCCTTTCCCTGATTTTGTTCGGGTGGGCGAGACTCGACAGGAACGCGGAAGATTTTTTTAACAGACTCTCCTCGCTCGTCTTTTGATCTGAAATCGTTCACCGTAGGCATCCGTCTATATTTCACGATCGCTCCGAGAGGGTTTAAATAGATGAGACTGAATATGTAATGCTCGATTATTTTCAGCGTGCATACCGAACGTGTTTTGGAGTTTAAACAACATCTGATATAACATACGCAAAATCGGGCTGATATAGTTAACGAGTCTCAGGATAGATCGCGAAGTGTATAAATGAACCAGATGTAAAGTGTTTAAAGGTTTATGCACATCGAACATCATATGGAAAATTAATAATCTTAAAGAATGCTCGTTTCTTGATCGAGATCGTAACGTATATTGTATGAATTATTTTGCACCGTTGTGATTATATGATCGACCGTATTTCGAATACCTTCTCTGAGACAATCGGGAACGGAAAAGGACTTGCGTATGGGCCTCGGGGATTTGAAGTCGGTGGATCCTGCGACGCTCCTCGATAACTCTTTCTCCACGTAATGGTCCCGTTGGTTGGCGCGAGCGTTACCGGAGTTCCCAACTGTTTTGCTCTTCTTCTGCGTCGCGCAGTTATTTCGAGTGAGTTCTCCCCTAGATGCGACGATGCTGTAGTTGTTCACGACGCCCTTTACTCCCTGGACAACAATCGTTCTCTACTACAGACACACCGAACTTCGTTACACTTTCCATTAAAAGTACGGCTCGACACGTGGAAGAGATCGTTACCGAGTTATCTCAGTATTTATAGAGCAATGTCAACAAACGTACATTGATACAAGTCGTGAGTTCGGTTTAAATCGGATCTTTCAACTTTTGACGCGTTTTCATTAAATTCTTTTCTATGTAAATTCTAACAAATCTTTCTTATATATTCGTTTCGAAACATCGAGTCTAAGGTAATTTCTTTTATTGCGAAGCCGAAAAAAATTGAACCGTGACATTCTATTTCTTACGCAGAGATTTCGAAACGCTAAGAAAACCAAACGGTTAGCCAGAATCTATTGAGCCTTCGGAGATGGAACAATAAACGATGAAGATCGTGTTGAACACTTACGAATTTCGATTGAAATCGGTACTTCGTGGAAAGGTATATCGTTCTCGCGCTCGGTTCGGAAATCACTGACAGGTTCGCGAGCCTGCCGACGCGCTCGTCTCGTAACAGTAGCTCGGAGTTCCTCGAAACGTGCCTTCCGGATCGGCTCGCAACGCGTACACGCGAGTTCTACCGCATCCGTTTCGAACTAAACGCTATTTATACGTCGTCGCCGCCGTCGGTTGAATCGCCGCGTCGTCGCTCGACGCGTCTACTACTCGTGCATTATTGATGGAATCACGCAAAGCAAAGCGGCTTCCACCTTCGCGCAAGCCGCACTGCGCCGTTTTCACGTATTTTCGAATCTTGACTCGTAAATCGCGTTCGTCAAACCGTAAAATCAAACGTAAATCAAATCGCACCGACAACCGTTTCAAACAAGCCTACCTGGTTGCGTTCACCGTTGGCCAGGGAAATCCTGTTCGAGTAAATCTCGTTGTTCAGCTTCCCTCGGCTCTTCGTCATCGTCGACCTAGGCTCCATAGATTATCGATGATGCGCCGTCAAGATGATGATCGTAACATCAACCAACGAGCTGACGGAGGGTTCTTTGACGAGTCAGAGCTAAGAGAACTACTTCAATTTTTCTAACGAGTGTGATGAAGAGTTCGCACATTTTGCAAACGGCAATAGAAAGTATAATGAATATTATGCTCTCTCACGACGATTAAAAGGAAGCGGATGTCACGTCATTCGTCAGTCAGACACATCGATGTTCCTTGCAATTTTGTAGGATCTATAGATCGAGGATTAAACTCTGCGCGGCTGTCGAATATAAAATCAATATTTTTCATTGAAAACGTTGATTCCGGTTAATTCTGTTGTGAAAGACGGTTCACGTCCTAGTGTATTTGCTCTGGTCGTTGCGCCGTGCTTATTTTGGCGTCGTTACACTTGCCCGACAGGCTTATCGTCGTCAACGTCACCATCGTCTGGCGGCCGTCCAATATTTTGAATTCTCTTATGCACGAGAATCTATCGATTACGCCATGCTAGAAGCCTTATCGATCTTACAAAATGATTGCCATCTTCGAGACACGGCGAATGATTATTCCAACGGAACCGTAGCAGGTCGCAACCGCGTCGATCGTTTCTTTTTTAAACAACACTCTGTAGGATGTGAGAAAATATTTGCGGTGGATGGATCTGGGTCGTATGTTAACGAACCAGCTGTTTCAATGCACGGGGTAACGTCCGAGCGCGATAAGAAAACTGATTAAAATAAAAACACCATTAGCGACGGTGCAATTTAATCCTCGAGCAAATCTGATGACTAAACGTCGAGAAATTTCTTACTAGCTAACTCGACCTCAGTCGATATTATTCATACGTGTAACTTTATAGTACAATAGTAATTATAAATGTTATAAAGTGATAAAAGTTGGAGTAATAATTTTTGAGGCGCGTCGATCAATGAAAATTGCTAATAGATTATAAGTGTTACCAATAAATCGAACGATGATTAATGAAAATTCATAAGAGAACCTGGCGAAGGCTGGCAATGTCAATGGCACGGGCGCGACGGACACCAGGAATAATAATCGCACCGTTGATAATCACGCGCGGTACCGTGTCATTGACACATATCAAAAACGATAACGACTGCCTTGAGGAAAAAAAAAGTCGTTCTTGTCGACGTGCGGCCAGTTTTCTTTTCTACGCGGATCGGTTTAATTTTAACTCAGGTCGAATTTCTGGGATTCGTAAATTTGTCGCCTAACGGCGTGGCCGTGATTCGTTAGCGGGTATCTAACGAAGCGCCGCAAATAAACGAGCCACGAGCATTTAACGACCACGGGTTCGACCGCTTTTAATAGGGAAATTCTATTAAAAATTCAGTTCGGACCGATGTTCATAAATAGATCGAGAATTTGATGGCGAGCACAGAGGGAACATGATAACGACGTGTAGTCGTTTTATTTCACGTGAAATTCTATTGATAAACCGTGTTTGAAATTACTCACCCACCCACGTTCATTTCTACAACCGTCTCGCTTGTCGGAAATCGGACACTGTTTTTCTATTAAACTTGGCAAACGATGTTCGTAAACCTTCCAGAAAAAAGTTCACTGAATAAGAACCGCCGACTGCGCGCGAGTGCGACGATTCGCGGCGCCGTTAGTTCCATCGAGCAACTTTTCAAAACTAGCTACACTAGTAAGGGTTGATTGGATACTGTGCCCAAGTTTAATTCGCACCCTCATCGCCCCTGAGACCATCACGAGACCATCGCATCGCACGCTCTCTGATCCGCGCAGCCGCGAATTTAGGCCAGGTGCTACTCCGATGATACCCAGTCGACTAATTACGAGCATCTTTTAATCGACGTTCGAATAAAACGTTTATAACTCCTTTCACGTATGATTTCTCTTGTGCAGAGAAAACGTCCAACACCTTGAAAGAAATTTTCTTTGTACTTTCTCCTTGACAGAGATGCTTCTCTATTTTCGTAGCGGCACGCGGACGCTTAGAGGTAGTGTCCACGTGCTCGCACGGCCCAATGGTTCAAGACCAATTATTTCAAACGGCAACACTTCCAAAAATAGTATTTCCAATGTCCCGTGTTGGCTATTTGGCAGAGCGTGATATCTGCCGAGAACCGATACTTTCCGGCTCGGCTTTCGAATTTCAAACCGAAACCTAAGATCCGAATCGATACAACGCTTGCACGTAATATTAATGACAGGCGCGAACTGCAATTTTCAACGGGAGCCACACGAGCGAGGAAATTCGCCTGGCGTTTCGTGACGACGCGTTATGAAAACAGACCAATTACCCGCATGCAATTTGACTAATTTTAAGAATTTACAGAAACCTCGCGGCATTAAGAAATACGCGTAACGTTTGTTGGACTCGAAAATATCGATTCGAATGTTGCAGCGATTCATTTTTATTCAGGCTCGTTGGTTCAAGGCTTCCGGTTAACGTCGCCTCTACACGAACTCCTTGCGGGTCACGAAACTCGTTAGACTCTACTTTCGAAGTGATCTAATTTCTTAAAGTACCCTCGGCAAAAAGCTCTTGATCGATGCAGTAATAAAACAACCGTTTCACACATACACTTTGCACTACATGTACGTGCAGTAGAATTTTGCCCGTCGTATATCTTCATTTTTCTATAGTATTATCGTTATTAATCAAAGTCTAGTTTAATTTTGCATAAAAATCTGCGGATTAGAAATGAATGGTAGAAGGTGATTGAAAGTGTAATGCTATATTTCGGTAACATACATAACATTACATCGAGGATGGACTATTCGATGCGACGCCGACAGGATAGCGCGCATAAACGTTCCTCATGCTGGCAGCACTTTAATTATGAAAAAAATAGCGATATATCGTAGCAACGCTGATCAAGTGGAAAATACGATAATCACCGTGATCTAGATACGATTATTTGGCAACAATCAACAACGATTGGGATCAAAGGTTACGAGTGGTAGCAACGATTCGCTCCCAAGCTCCGAGATCCATCCAATACCATTTATAATCGTTGATCCCAAAATTACGTAAGAGCTTTAACGCGGTTCCCTCGCCCACCCTATCGAAAGCGCACGTTTCCACTCACGAATACCCGGTGTTCACGCGGTAACGCGTGACGAGACAGTGCTAAGCTTTCTTCTTCGTCACGAGATGCTTTGTGGCAGTAAAAACTCTAACGACGATGTACAACGGAAATGAGAAATGATTCAACGAAATCATATATTTATATATAATATATATGTATATATATATTCCACCCTCAGTTTCAGAATCGTGCTACCGATCTAACGAAGGATCAAGTTTACTCGATAGTACATATATTATAGAAAAAACGCCAAGTTCCACGATTTTCGTATCAAACAACTATTACGCGTGTATATTCGAGGGTATATAAAGTCGTTTTCCCAGCAAGTAAAGGAGTAGAGAAGGAAACACAGGTAGGAAAAGTCCCGCGAAGGCAAGCATCCGTCGCAATCTTGTCCTTTCAAGCGAGATTTACTGAACCCAGGAAGCAGGTACCCAAAGTGGTTCCGATTCTACTCGGTGAACCGCGTTCACTAACTCCTCAAACGCCATCGACAGATCGGCGTTCACAATCACCTCGTCAAACAGGTGAGGGTACAGAAATTCAATCCTCGCTGCGCTGTGCAGAATCTCGTGAAACTCCTCGTCCTGGAAACAGACATCGTATTCATCCGTTAAATTACATCGTAAAATATGGATAATTCAATGAGACAAAGAATATATTATTCAAATTATAAATCTTTTATCATTTGATTTGTTATAAGATTTACTGCGCGACTTGTTATATGACTTATTGTAATCTCTCGATTAAATTCTTCACGAGAGATTGCAGTTGGAAGCGTCCCAAGTTTTTTGAATAGTCGAGGAATAAGGAATTACCGTGAAGCCTCGGGAGTTGCTCTCGTCGAAGGTCGACCTCGCCCTGGCGTCGTTTCGCGTTTCCTTGAGTATCTCGAACCTCGGCGGTTTTATGTATATCACGTAGGGCTTCGTCTGAGGGGTCCGAAGCATCTTGAGGGCTTGGTAGTGAGGGTTCAGCAGACACACGTATCCGGCATTTATCAGCGAGCTGACGCTCTCGGAACTGGTACCGTACAAGTTGCCCTTGTATTCGCCGTACTCGATGAACTTTCCGGCATCGATCTCCTCTTCCATCTTCTCTCGGCTCACGAAGTGATACTCTTTCCCGTTCACTTCGCCTGGTCGCGGCGGCCGCGAAGTATCTATATATACGCATTTTTTCAAAAATTTTTTATATAAATATCAGCTAAACAATTATTTATTGAATCGAAAAGATTTGACGAGTTTAAAAATGAAAAATTGACGTAAATATTATTCGGCCTTTAAGTTATATTATGAATAATGAAATATTAAAAATTGAAAATTGTTGCTCGTTGAGGAAGAAAACTCACAAGGAATGGGGGTCTTGTATTTGTCGGGATCGGTGGCCATGAGCCGCCTCTTGAGCTCGTTCCTTCCGACACCCGGTGGCCCGATCAGAACCACCGGTCGGTAGAGGCCCGGCCTCGGGTATAGCTTCGCGACCTCTTCGTAGGTCGCGATTTCTTCCCGGTCAAAGTCGTCGTTCTCTGCAGCGTCATACATGATTTTTTTAGTTTTTACTGCCTGCAAGTTGCACTTTGTAGGCGAGGCGTGCAAAGAGGTACTGGGACGGGGGCACAATGCGGGCAAAGGCACTGGAACAGAACACAAGCCTAACCGACGGGTTAGGTCGTCAGCCGTTAAGAACAGCGTCTGGTTGCGGTTGTCAGCGGTCGCGGTCCACCCTCTATGTCTCCTTCAGTAGTTTCTCTCGTCGGTGTTCATGCAGTTAACGAATAACACTCGCATTAAACGTTACAGCGACATGGCAATCAGTTATGAGCGGACTGCGGATTTTTTGCGAGATACGACTTTCGTGATAGCAATTAAAAATTGCGGTGTACAGTTGATTTCTTTATTAAAATAAATGCGCAAAATCTGCAGTCTCGTTATGAGATTAAATGACAACGATTTCAGCATGACGGAATTTTCGGAAAAGCAGCTCGTCTAATTCCTAAATCTGGCCCACTTACTAATATTGTCGTCATCGGTTTTCACGCTCTGTTGTCTCTCGAGAATGATGCGTCTCTCCTGTAGAGCTCTGCTAGGAATCAAACCAGCCCTCATATTTCGATCTCCTTCTCGTCTCGCTTGCCACCTATTTCCAAATCGATACCGTTCAAATTTGTAACGCGTGAGAGTATCATTATTACGAATTCGAGTCGTACCAATACGCGTCGTCTTGACTGACGATGTGGAGAACGTCGCCCTTGTTAAAGTCGAGACCAGCCTCCTTGCAAGGTATGTACGGATCGTCCCCAGCTTTGTACGAGAAATGCGCTCTGACTCGCACCTAACGGCGTCACATCATTAAAAATCATTTTTTTACGCTATCACTGACAAGTTTTTGATCAATTTAGTAAAACGATCAAAAACTTTTTGTCAGAGGTGATAGAATTACCGGACGTACCTTGCTTTCGCGAATTCCACCTTTACTGTCGGCAGGCACTATTTTAAAGGTAATCGTTCCTTCGGAATTTTGCTGAAAGCAATTCCACATGGGAATCGTTTTAAGTACGCGAGTCACCGTACGATCATACAGTTGTGGGCTTCGATATTCTTTTATGTGAAACACAATTTTATTGGATCTTGATTGATCGAATAATTTGTCATATTACTGTGTTTATTAATTTATTTAGTATAATTTTTTTTGTAGACGATAGTAATTGAACAGGACGTACCAGTATTTTGAGAACACAGTTCGGAGTCTTTCCTTCGACGCTGATGCCGTTGACCTCGCAAACCTCGTCCCCAACGTGAATGAGGCCAGATCTATCGGCAGCCCCGCCGTGCATTATTCGCGCTATCACGATCTTGCCGGTGACCTCGCACGTTTTTATGGTCGCCCCCTATTGTCAACGTGTAAACGAATATTTTGATTGCGGTCGTGCGGAGGGAGCGCCTTCGTTTCTCTTCAAAAATAAATAAAAACAAAGAGAATTGATCGCGAAGGCGTCGATCACCACACGATCGAGAAACGATCATCGATCGCTCGTCATCCGTCGATTCTTTATTTTCTTTCGAATTTCTCGAGGTAAGCTGGATTCAACGATTAGTCGCTTATCTCGAGAGGCGTTTTCATTTTTGTCACAACACAGGGACATGCGGGATAATAACACAGGAGAAACAATGATTAACACAAAGAACTCATTTTATTTACACAATCACAAAAAAACAGAAAGACAAACAAGGAGTCGAAACGCAAAGGGTTTAAAATAAGATGTAAAAGCGAGATCGATAAATTAATACGTGTATGCATATGAGTATGTCTATTGCGGGTAGATATTTCAATGTGTATCGCAGAGGAAAATGAACAGCGTTCTATTTACAGCTGGTTACACGTATATGCATGGTATGTATGTACCAGTCTCTCTCTCTCGTTCCCGTACAGAGATCGCAGAGTGATACGAAGCTAAAGGTGCTATTCGCTAACGAAACCAAATAAACGGATATAATGAATACGGTATACTGCGGATCGCTATTTTAAATGCGCATGAAACGTAAACAGGCCTAGGATGTTGTTTTCGGCTTGAAGTCGACTTACCACGATCGGTTCAACGCCGGCGCCGCATTGACACTTCGAAGCAAGTTTGACGATGAAAGAAACACGTGATTACTTGAGAAAACTTATCGACGACGCTCCGAGATACATTAGTCGATACTGGGAACGTTCGTTACGGGAGAAACAAGGCGCCTACGCCAGGGGGATTAATTAGGACCAATCAAGTTCCATGCAATTACTTAAAAACGATTACGACGCTGTTACTCGTTTATATCTCTCGACTTATTTCGACGATTAGTGTGCTACGTTGTTCAAGCTTTATTTCTCTCCCACTCGTTACTGGGTTCAATTAAGACCTACGAAAATTCGTTCACGTACCAATGGCTCGTTCGATTTGACCAACTGCACGATTTTCACCGTCTCCTCGTCCTCGTCGACTTCCAGCGGTATTTCCGGCAGTCTCGGGTAGTAGTCTTTTTGGGCGACCGCGTCGTGGGCGCATAACAGGCCCTGCGACATAAATCCTTCCTTTCGTTTCCGCTTCGATCAATCAATCGAAGCCGACCACGCTACCTGAATGTGCGGCTTCTGGAGCAAGTGAAACAGCTCCTTGCACTCCTTCGAGATGTGGGTCTTCGTCGACAGCATGTCCAGGACCTCGATGTCGATGTCCATCGAGTTGGAGAGCACCGGGAAGAACTTGTCATCCTTGACGTTGCTCAGAATCTTGTTATGCACGTTCACCAGTGCATTCAATTCCTTCGACTTCAGCAAGTCGGTGAGAAACCCGAACTCCTCGTCGGTGCAGCTAGGTATCTCGTTCTTGCTCTCTTGCAACGAATTCAACAATTTGGATAACGCTGGAAGAAGAGACGACGTTGTGATCGATGAATTGATTTCTGAAGGGCTGTTACCACTAACGTAAAGAGGTCGCGAAGCAGATACGATGAAAATACATGAAGTTTAAATCGGCACGATTTTTCTTTGACGCTTTACGTTCGAAAACTTGCTGGCAAATAAAAATAGACATGCGTACGTACGTAGTACGGCAATAGTTTTTGAAAATATAGTCTTTAATTGAATCGAGCGTTGCCCACCGAAATACTAAGGCACTATTTTTAAATCGGTGACGTTTTCTCGAGTGTCCCAATAGTCTTAAAGACGATGGACGAAGGGAAACGAAACGTGTCGCGGATCTCACTCACCAGGATCCCAGTTAGTGTTTTCCATGATCGCAGCTGTCATAATTTTTCAGGATCAGCTCCGATACGGTTCCCGAACGTGGTGAACCCGACGCGGTGACGGGGTGCACTCGGACGTAGCGGCGTGTCACGATATGAGAACGGGCCGAGGTAGATTCAGGTCAGCCACGATGCGTATTTCTAGCAGGTTCGTGCGCAGCGCCGCGAATAACCCGGTAAAACAGTTTCTTGTTTCGCATTCGCGGCTGGAATATCGTTATCATAGCGAGAATAATCCGTTACGTAAGCTACTGTCACTCGACACGGGGTAGAATGACCACGGCTAGGCTGGCCCGCATCTCGGCCACTTTCTCCGTCTCTCAATTGTCTGAACCTACCGAAATACCGTGCATATCTTCCACCGAACGTCTCTACGCGTTCCTGACGACTCAATTTAATCCGTACTCGCGATTTTATAAGGATTTTCGTTCATTTCTCGGCACGAACGCACCGCGTTGCTCCGTGTAGCCATCTTTCACGTCAGCACTGTTTCCTCCCCATCGATGCCATATCGTTGCCCTCTCTCCCGTTTTTAGTTCCCCTTCTACGTCGGCATTGAACGCATCGGCTTTACTACCATCCCCTTTCTAAACGAGGTTAACGTCAAGTCGGTCATTGCCAAAAATCAGGTAGGAATTGTTTTGAGAAACGAATCGTTATTGAAAGAAGTCAGCTTTATTCTTAAATGATTCGTGATTTGAAGAATGAATCCCGAGATGATTTCATGCGCACTGAAGGAAAGCATAGGGAACTGGTATTTCGATGTCTGCTGGTCGTGCAGTGGTAAGATACATTTCTTTTTCATCATTTTTCTCTTCGTTATTATTAAGTCATCTTTCTCTCTTCTATTCTAATTATAAACGAAATATGTTCGTGAATGATAAACAAGTCAGGCGAAACAGAAAGCGAAAGAGCCAATGCAACGAGTTAATAAGAATTCTTAAACGTCGTACAGAAAGATTACAGCAAAGTATTCACTTACGTACATGTGCGTAGTAATTGTTCGGTTCGTAAGTCGATTTGAAATAACGCGCGGCCGTTTGCCGCGACGGCCGCCGTCGATCAGTGGCAGCACCATTGCCTGTGTATACACGCAATTGTCTGCCCAAAACGTCTCGCCGCAAACTGCGAAGTTATTTCACGAATTTTGTGCTGTTCGTCGTTGTGAAATTCGGAACAGAAGTTGTCGTTCGGAGTCCGTGAACTTCTCTTTGAACAGTTGTGGTAAGATCGTCGATTTCTCTTTACTTTACGCGAGTCATGTTGCTGAAAATTTGATATGGCGTTGACAACGCGGATTTTGCTCGGGATTTTTGTAAATACGCACCTAACCGCAGCCAATTGTTTCGTTTCCAAGTGTCGCGTGTCGTTTTCTACACGGATCGGTCAGAGTTCGAACGGTTGTTCAATTATTTTATTGAAAGTTATCGGACACGAATTCTCGTGTTCGGTCTCGTGCCCACGATCCACAAGTGGTTGTGTACCGCAACTTGTGAACTTGATCTTTCCAAATTTGACCGTGGACGATTTTCCTTTAATTTATTAATGACACATAGCTACTTTTGAATGGGCGTGAACATCGTTTGGCTCGTTGATCCCGAATCGTGGGCACAAGTGCATACAGAGTTCGTCGTTCTACCAAACGAGAGACTGTAAATACAGTTTGGGTAATGAGAAAAACACTTGAAATGTTCATTGTAACTGGCTTCATCAGCCAGTTTCAATGAAATTATTTGTGACAATATTGTAAATCGTACATAATAGTAAAACGAAACGTGTATAACCCTCACATGATTGTTATACATAAGTAAATGTGTTGACAATAAAAACGACTGTGCCCAATGAATGTACATTTATTCATTTAAAGGTAATTACGTTTGCATTTTGTTTGAATGATATTTTTTCCTTTGTTACAGTTGATTCCGTATTCCCCGTTTATTTTCCATCCATCGTTTTGGTAAGTTTTATTTTCACCGCTTTCCATTTTTCCTTCCTATTTATTTATCGTTATTGTTCGATAAACATGTATGAACGGATATTAATGTACTGGCGAGCGCCGACCGGTTGTCTATATTATCGGCTGCAGCAAGAACTGCAAACGAAACAGCATACAGTAGATGGCGAGTATAGTTTCGCTCGAACGTAGTCGTTGCTGCATTTTTAGTAGACGACACCGCGTTTTAAACATCGTAACTCTCATAAGATTTTATACGCGAATTTACGTATAAAACTTGTGTCCAAGGAGTTTACTTGATTCAAGTGAGTGAAACAAAACTATACGGAGGATGCACTGGCGGAAGCTGATTCAGTGTTGAGTACAGTTTTATTATTATATATTTATAAATAATGTTATCGAGTTTGGGATGGCTGATAAATATTGAAGTGCCGTTATCTAGGAGCGTTTCACTCGGTAGGAGGCACCCGGGGTTTTGATAGGGTGCGGGGACGGGGGGGACGGGTGCAGAGGTGTCAGGAAAGTGTTTTACTAGCCTTAATTTCGTGTGCTTTCGCAGCCAATATGTCGGGCAGTAAATTGCAAAGTTTCCAACGGGTTTCGCGTTTCGGTGTTGCGCGTTTTAGCGCTCGCGGTTTTAACGACCCCGTCCATCCTCCGCATCCTCCGGTTCAAGGAACGCTCGCCAGATATTAATCCTGTAAACAAGCGTATTCCTTTCGCCGGGACCCGCCGGTTGACGCCGGCGAGTCGCCGTGCTCTTTTCTGAGCAACATCTTGTCATTCGGGATATTCTCAGGTGAAACGTTCAACGCGAAATACGGCGAGCAAACAGGGCAGGACGATTAAGTATTCGAGGAACGGCGTATAAAAATTTACGATATCCATTCTAAGCGGGTGGGACGAGGGGTCGAGGGCGGATAGGCAAAGAGCGCAAGGGTTATTCTTCGAAGAGAAACGCGGGAAAGAAGGAATCGATTGAACCAACATAAACGTTGAAGGACTAATAGAAAAAAATAGTAATTTAGTTAGTAAAACATAAAGCCACGTCGGTGGCCGGAGAAGGAAGGCAAACACATTAAACATTTAGAGGGCATAATAACCCGTGGCATACGTAATACGGCTGGCGCCCTTTTCACCGATGGCTATGAATAATGTACATACGCCAAGGTATGACGTAGGCTTGCTGAGCTGTGTGTATTTCACGGTGGGGTAGATCGACCAGACTATTTCCAATAACCGGCCGCGTAACGTTATCGCGAGAGACCTCGAGAACCCTTTTGTGTCGTTTCCCGCTTCCGTCCTCGCGAGCCGCCCTCGTTTCTTCCTTGCCTCCGCCAAAACCACCGCTCTATCTGCACCTATCACCGTTTCCTATTAATTCTATCGTCGTTTTCAACGACCGACGACTCCCTCGGTTCTTAAGGATTCCTCAGAGTAAATGTGTTCACCGAGAGCGTCGAATTTCTGGGAATATAAAGAAAGACGTTTATTCAATGATTCGTGCGCGGAATACAACCGGGAACGGCGCGTGTTTTCGTTGCCGGACAATACCGGCGGAATTCCAGGGAGCTTAAACAAATGCGCGACTATTCAAAATCGTCGAGAGCCCGCGAGGATGTTGATCAAACACCGTCACTTCTGATTCGCGAAAACAGTACGTAACATCACCGATCGCTGGCTGATCGAAAACTCCAAGTAAAAGACTTCTAATACTTGCCACTTCCGAGTTCGCGTTTCGATTTTTAGCCCGGTTTTTCGGTCCGGCCGAATTGACGGGAGTCCGTCGGAAGGGAAACTCGCCGGAGGGTATGGTCATGGCAAACGTCAGGACGTCGTCGACGAAAAAGCAAGCGGGACACGCGTTCCGTCCGATAAATCTACCGGAGCAGGTTTCGGAGGTCCGCGGAACGAATATCGCCATAAAGGCCGGCTCAAAAGTCAATCAAGCGGGCCGAATTACGTCGAAAAGCGCGAAACGCGAGCGGGGTGAGCGCGGCCGCCACCGATATACAACAAAATGAAAGCTATCAGAGGTGACAATCCGCGGACGACAAATCAGCGTGTATATTTAATGCCCGTGGTGTCACCCTCGCCCCCGGAAAACCTCCCGACACTCGAGGTGGAACGTTGTTCGCGTCGCTGTCTCTCTCCATCGACTGTCCCTCTCGCTCTCACGGTCATCTCTCTCTTCTCTTCTCGTTTTCGCTCACCGTTTCTTCGTCCTCCACCGCTTCGTCCCTTTCTTCCCACCGTGGATTCGTTTTTCTCTGTCATCGCGTTGCTGCTCTCGGATATGTCACTGTACTCTGGCCGACGCAGCCCAGAACCACCCTTCGCCGACCCCTCGTTTCTCGCCTCGGTCGTATCTGGTCGGTACGGGCGTTATTTGCCGCGCGTTGTTCTCCCCCTCATCCTCCCGCTGCGATCTAGCGCAATCAGCGCTATTATATTAATATTTATGCCCCCCTCCGCGCCCTACCATCGACGCGCCGAAAAGTCAATCGAGAACGCCGAGATCCGATTCGATGTTTACCACCTGTCCACAATTTTACACCTTAGAACGCATCCAATATTCTACTCCAGCAAACCGTACAATCGTAATTAACAAATATGAATAAAATATAAAGCTCTAAATAATGTAGTAGTAGTAGTAGTATATGAGAAATTTTAAATCATGAACATATTCATTGAGATCATCGATCGACCAGTGTTTTTAATTAATTTCGGTTTGTTCAGCTCTTTTACGATGCGCTCTGTGATTTACGAACGAAGATGTAGTATGTACGTTTGTCCGTCCTTAGAATCAACCGAGATGCGTTAATATTTTCAATAAGATATTCGTTAGCCTTGCCTACAGACGACCTACTTGCCAAGTATGCAAATCTATGCGCGATAGATCCGATTGTATGTAAATAGTAATAGGTACAGTGGGTTTTGCGCAATATCGAGCGGCGTTTCTCGAATTTCGTTTGCGTTACGAATCCGCGAAGGGAATCTCGATCGGGCTACGTTCTTTATCCTTAGCCGAGGAAAAACGGGGTCAAGTCTCGTCGTCGCGGTTTTCGCCAACGACGAGCTCGATATGAACGGCAAACAGCTCGGTTTACGGTCGATTACGCGACCATCGGCCATCCATTCTCCTAACATTTCCCTCCGCCGCGTCGCCAATCTAATTTATAGGCTCGAAACGATTCCGGTTGCCAGAGGCCTACCGATCGGCCTCTTAACCAAGTAATCGCGTTTTACTCTTGTCTACGACTACGACCACGCTCGTTCCCCGTCGAGAATACTCGTTCGAGTACCTATTCACAAACATTCGCGATATCCACATGCCAGATGCCGGTTTCTCTTCACGATTTAACCCTCTCGATTGAGCCACGTGAGATCCACGTATCGTATCGAACCTACCTATATATCAAATGTAAGGATTATTTTCTATAATTTTATATTTCAATGAATAGAAAATACAGTTTCAATGTCGCTTCGTGCCAACTCGAAGGAATCTGGTCTTCTCATTTTGTGACTGTGACTCAACGCTCGTGCAAGCCTTGATTCATCAAGCAGTGATCAGAATCGTAATAGTTTTTGGTCGAGCTGACGTCGAATGGTTGGTGAAATCCTAAATTGAAATTTGGTTCGAATTTTTTCGAGATCGATTTGTCAAATAATGTTTCGCCCCGAAACTGCAGGCGATCAGAATTTCGGTATCCGCGGGGACGGGTGCGTCGGTTTTTGTAGTGCCGGCTGGCGGATGCCCCGTCGAGCGAAAATTGATGCTTAATGCGAATTGTAGGTTAGATTTCGTCGACCGGTAACGAAGCTGTTTCGCCGATCGAAATTTCATTTCCGATCGGCCGAATTGGCCACCCGGGGTTTCAACCCTCTTTCGAATCGCGCGACACTCGGCCCATTCAAATCGAATTGTAGTCTCGGTATTAGAAAGATAACCGTACATTTTATTCCGCGTATGGACCCCTAGCCATCCCCACGTCCACTTCTGTAGTAGATTCGTATCGCGAGCATGTACGCAGTTTCGCTTACAAATTTTATGCACAACTGATAAATTCGCGAGTGCATGCGATTCTTGTATATTGTGTAAGAAGCATTTCTTGCCGCTAGAGCAGATGGGAAAATGACGTGCTATCTCTGATCTTTGAATACGAGTTAATATCGTAATCCTTCGGACGCGGGAAGGTTGACCTCTCTAGGTTTTTCGCGAAACAGGTATTCCTCGGGCGAAACGATAGCGCACATATTATAGAAGGAGGTCCGGGCATTCCTCGAGTAGATGATTTTCGTGATTTCATGATTCAGGGGGATCGCCGGGGTAACGAGGAGATCGTGACTCGCCGCTTTGGCACGGTAGCTCGTCTCGCAACGGCATAGGCCTGTGTATCGAACGAGGAGCTGCTACTTATCCGTTGGCTCTAAATCGGAAACGGTTTTAATGCTATCTAACAATAAGTAGATTACCCCTGTTCTCTTTCTTCTCTCCTCGTTTCCACTCGTCCCTCGAGCTTGAACGCGATGTTGAACCCTCTGTCCTCTTTTCCGGCTGTTTACACACTGCAAAGCAAACCCAGGAGGCCTCGTCGGCCAACGAAGCCTACGATCGATCACCGAGCGTATCGCGGAGAACGAGAACAACGTCACCTACACGTTTTTCAAACAATTAACCCTGACGCTATCATAGTTTCCTGAAAAACTTTAGAAATCTTTATATACGTGCAGATTCGGTTAGAAGTTATTTCATGATGACGTTGTTTGATGATTCAAAACGTGCTGCGTATGAATTCATTGTATCATGAATACAATTTTCGTATTTAATATATTTGTGTCAAGATTTATAAGGAGATCGACGATCAAAGGATGATCTAAAGTAGGTATCCTGCATGCAACGCTGCAACTAGCGCGTCACATGTACGCGATAGCGAAAGGGTTTGAGCCTCCTCTCCTTTTCCGCGGGAAAGGAACGATTGTTCCTTGTAGATTCTAGATCGAGCGGTCTGATGATACGTTGCCCGCTCGGGAAGAGAGAGAGAATCGTTCGGGAGAGCCAGGAAATCGGATCGCATGTCTGCCTCGAATCTTTCCGCCATCTTGCGAGAATTCTTTCCATAGTAGCGAAACGACGAGCGGCGAAAACCGAGCTCTGCGATTACATTCCCTTATAAATATGCAAATATGGCGGCACCGGTACACGTAGGGAGAAGCCGAGCGGCGAGGAAGGGGTAAAGAGAAGTAGGAGGAGTGGGCTTCGCGGACGGCTCGCACCGCCGGGAGAACGCGAAGGGGGCTAGCAAAAATAGAGAGTATCGCGGTAATAATTATTGATTAGATATTCGTGACTGACTCGCCATCGCGAGAACCGTTCCACGGCTCTAAGATCCTTCCCTTTCTCTTTTCTTCATCGTTTTTGTTCTTAGAATCCAATCGTACTCGCCTCTTCTTCGGTTCGTCGCGGTCCGAGGCTCGTATCAAATAATTTAATAGTTTCCTCTTTTTAGATAACAACCTTGCATTACGATGTTCGTTCATATCCAATTCGTTGCCTTTATTATATGCAGTTGTTACATAACAATTCTTGTACCCTCTTATATGAATTAAACCTGACCTTTTGACTCCGCGTATCTCCTGAAAATTCAGCGCGTCAGCAAATTTATTTAAAGTCGAAATCTTTTATTCTTGTCTCTCCCGATTCCTCGTACGAATGACGGAGTTTTTTTTTGCGCCGAGTCCTTAAATCTTCTAAGAGGGTGATCGAAGGGCAAGGAGAGAAAAAAATTGGGACTGATACGCCCCTCGGCTCCCTGCTGCCGCGTCCGTAATTTTCGTAATTCTGGGGTCTGGGAATCGACGGCCGCCGGTATTCTGGCTACCAGTCTTTACCCCGATGCATCTTTATTGGTCGTTTCTTCGATTTAGACTGCATCTGAATATCAAGGACGAGCCTTCGTTCCCCATCAAAATTTTACCAAATCTTACAAAAAGAGCGTCGCGGACTATCGATTATTATTGATAAACCCCAGCTGTTTATCACAGTCAGAATCGACAGGAATTAATACATGAAACTTGCATTGGTTGAATTTATTGAATGAATTTTCAATAAATTCAAATGAATTTTTATCAGGCCTTATAATCAATCACCCTAATCAGTGACCCTGTGTATACGACGTCTAAAGATTTTCTCAACTCGGGTCGTTTAAATTTTTTCATAAAGGGAATTAATTAACAGATCTCCGACCGAATTAACGTGCCTTCGCTCAACTTTCTACCCTCTGCATTCTTATACGTTTTAACGCACCTCGTTGGTATCGATAAGGGAAGCGGGAGGTGGTGCAGGAGGAGGACAGTGGTTTGCGGAGAAACGCGGCGCGCAGGAAGCTACAATGTGCACACGGCATTATCATTCACCCTGGCCATTATCCATCCACCGGCACCATCGACGACCCAACCCTTACCCGCCACCGCTACATCGTGTACGGGTGGTATCCCCTTTCGCATTCGACGAGATGGAAATTTAGCGGAATCATTCGCGATTTACGACGGGGCGCCCACCCCTCGGTACTTAGCTCGGTTTATACCAAGCGCGAGCAAGACGAACGATATACCTCGCTGTCTCTCCTCTAACAATGGAGCTCCACGTCCTCCCTTCACGAGTCTTAGGACAAGTGTTTATTGTCTGACAATATGATTAACATTGCAAATTAATATTCCTCAGAGATTGCATCAATTGAAACTTGATAATCGATCGTCAATTGAATCAGGCGATAATTCATATAATAGAATTGTCATAAAAGACGGAACGGTTAAACTAAAATATTTATAAACGCGGAACGTAGAATCGTTCTGGTGTTTTATAATGAATTGTAAAACTCATTAATGGGGATGTTAGATTCTGTGTTCTCGGGCTGCTTCGAACGATTATCCTGACAATTGTGAACCAACGAGTTTTCCCTGTTTGGGACCGGGGGAATAATCGCGCGACGATACGTGATAATTACTCGACGATTTATAAGGTATCGACGCGTGTATCCCGGCACACGATTCGGAAAATTGCGGCTAATTCGCTTGCCGACTCGTACCACGGGCTGATCGATTATTATCGCTGAAGGATTGTTTATAAAGAGTCAGGTATGCCGGCGACATAAAAAAGTCATCAAAGTGTCACGCGATTGGCCACCGTTATGAGTAATCGTGGGAAACTGTATTTCTGGAGGATCGAGTAGATTTTAATGCGATGACTCATGCCATTGATCAAACGTTTCGTAACTCAGGTATTATATTCTTAGCTAGTTCGATAGTAGATAGTACTTAACGTGTTGCCTGTTCCATCGTTCTCGACTACCCAAAGGACCAATACAATATTTGATATAATGTTTCATATAATAGTTCACTTAATAATTGACAAACAGAATGTTTTGTTGTTCTAAAATACCTATTTTGAATCGACGTAAGTAGACGAAAAGCACGGGGATACGAGTTGTACGTAACGTGTTGATACAACGTTGCCTTTTTAAGAAGGAACAATGGTAAAAACTAAACACAATTGCGGGGGTAACGTTGTTAACGCAAAGCGAGGATCGCTTACGTTTGTAAAATATTTCGTTTCGAGTAGCGGTGAAATTCCGGGATAAATAAGCGGGGATTTCTCGGCTCTCCTTTCCCTGGCCGCGCTTCCGGTGTTAACGAGACGAACGATTGTTGTTTCGTTTGTTCGAGATCTCGTTCGCGCCCTGTGCTCTGCACCCTCTACCTCTGGAACAGCGGCAGCGGGATCTCTTTGACGCGCGAACGAGACACAAAGACCAAAAGCGTAAATTAACGTAACGCGACGTAACGCGTACCGCGTTAGAAAGTTCGACCCGCTCCCTGCTTCCGTATTTTATCGCGCCGCGTGAAACGCAAACACGAATCTATCGCCGGTTGGTAAACGAAATTTTCCCGTTCTGTTCCCGAGGAACTTTATATTTTCCATTAACGGGGCGAACTCTGACCTAATTCTGGGAATAAGAAAAATAGCTGTAGAATTTGTATTCGAGAATGTTTTATTCCGAGTCGCCAAACGTGCTGGTTTGCTACGTTTTATTTTCCGCTCGTATTCGTATACGAGTCGATCTAATTCTGGGACAATTGTACGAAGACAATTTGATAAATCTCCAGTTTGAAAACGTAATTTTATTCAGAATTGCCGAAAGCGTTAGTTAACTTTTATTTATCCGTTCTGTTTTGGTGAAACTTTATATTCCCATTAACGGGACAAGCTCGGACCTGAATCTAGGAATAAGAAACCAGGTTTGACAAATCTGATGTTTGGGGATGAAATTTTATTCATAGTTGCCAAAAACAGCCGGTTGCTAAATTTCACGTACTTGTTTCGTTACTATGAAACATTATATTTCCCATTAACGGGACAAACTGACCTAATTCTGGGACCTGCATTGTCTATTGTGTCGGGGAATAAGAAAGCGTATTCACGGTGGTACGGCAAACAATAATGAGAGAACGAGAGAAAATGATAAATTTTATTGTAAGTTCGAATGAAACTCCGAATGTTCCGGATGCTTCGTTTTAGCTTCGAAATACGAAGATTTTTCAGAGCCGGGCGAACGCAAAGGAATCCGTCAAGACTTTGCCGAGAGAACAGAGAACCCTTTTCGCATACCTCGATCCAGCTATGAAACGAAACTTGCAACGTTTTCCGCGGTTAGGCATTCGCGAAACTCGTACAAATAATTAATTCCTCAGTGGTTTACTGTTTGGAAACGTGTAACGCTAATCGTTCCTTGGAATTCTACGTGGAAAAGTTTCTGGGTACAATTTATCATAATAAAAATGGAGACGATGTTTCATATAGTAATTCGTGTAATATCTGATACAGTATTTGATAAAATATCTCGTGCATTATTTGATATAACAATTGATAGTCCGTTTCATACATTATTTGATACAAAACCTATAGTCTGCAGCAGATTTGTTCTCGTGAAAGATTGCGAATAGACATGCGTTTGTGCACAAAGTGCGGGCCACGTAATTAGTTTACATCGTGCGAATCGTGTAAACTTGGGCACGCGTCGATTAAACGCGGTGGCGTTGTCGCAGGTCCGTTTCACCTTTACCAGTCGATAGAAATTGGCAGCTTGACCCTCGACACTGCCTCTTCGAAAAGCCTCTATCGTGTTCTCCAATCGGTCGACACGATTTCCTTATGAAATGATCGAGTAATTTGTCCCTCTTGCAATTTTTCATAGATAATACTTCTAAGAATTCTAATCTAACAAATCGAGTTATCAGTAGATTACATATTGTGCAACTTTATGCACTGAACGAGCGAAGGAATTAATTTCTGTGTGTTTTTGAAATTTAGATGTAGACCTCGTTTTTTAAATTGATATTGCAAATGTCTTGTTTCACGTGAAAAGCTGATATCTATTACGGGATAGTTCGCGAATATCGAGTGCACGTCGGGTAGAACCAATGGCCAACATATTTAAAACGTGGTTGCTATTTTGTCGGAATTTCCTCTGGTAAAGAAACTCCGTGGCTGGGGAAAGTCCGTGATTTTTCAGCCCTCGCGAAAGATAAAGCCCGACATTTGTATAGAGGATACGAATATATAGAGAGCACGCGTAGACCGGTGCATACACGTACAGATGCATCTGTGTAAAAGGGTGCGAACAACCGAGCAGGAATAGGCGGGGCTGCAGATGCGTACTCGTGTGCATGCCTCGCTTTCTAATCAGGCATAGTAGTTCTCGGAATCCCTCTGCCTATAATCGATCAGCGGGGTTATAAATTTTTCCGGTGAAACATCCTGAAACCTTCTCTCTCTCCGCTCGGCTAGTCCGATCGATTCGCTTTTCTCGTTTGCGATATGACGCGCTCCGCTCCGAGTTTAAACGAATCGTATGCTCGCGCGTCTTGATCTCCAAACGCGTTCGTCGAAATGGTTAAGATTTTTATAAGCTTCTTATCTTCGAAGATAAAATAATCGTGCCCACAGATGACACCTAGATCTTGATCTTAATTGCTAGATACGAATTACCGTTTCAAGTCTCAGGTGTATTCGCACTCTTATCGCCTCGTTTGGTCGTCACAT